AAAAACTTACAGGGAAAATTGCTTTATGTCCATCAAAGTACCAGTGTAACAAAGAATCCCAGCTTCTAAAAACTGTTTTCCTGTTGCTAACTTTATAGTGCAGCTTGTAGGAACACTTTGGTTTTTTTTTTTTTTTTCTTGTTGGGCTCCTTCTATACAATGATCCTATGGCTATGATTAAGTACATACCCACTGCTCTAATTGTGTACTTGGTTAAGAAATTGTACAGACTTGTTTTTGAACAAACTGTACCTGCAGCTTCATGTTATAGAAGTTACCAACACCTGGAGATCCCATGGCAAGATCCAGGAGTCACCATGAAAGGTGAATCCATAACCTGAACACAATTGAGAGGGAGATCCCCAGGAGGACAGCAATTCAGAATGATCATTCAAGCAGGACAGACAGCCCTGTATCCTATACCACCCCACCCTGTCGTATGACCATTATTTCATCTTTTCTTATAAAACCCCTTACTTTCAGCCTAAGATTTTGAAATGGTTTCTTTGAGGCATGAGCCTGGTCATTTTCCCATCCGTCAGCTTTTGGAATAAAGTTCATTTCCTTGTACCACATCTCATGCCTGTTCATTTCGGCTTGGCATCTGCAACAGCAATACTCTGTTCAGAATGACACTTACTTTATACAAGGTTTATTTCCTCGTAGAAAGGTCCTCGGACTGGCGCATTCAATTCCATCTAGGGCGTGGCACTGGACTAAAGTGTGTTCCACGTCACTGTAGGCCTGACCACCGAACTGTGAGGAAAATAAAAATCTATACAGGAAATATATACAGGAAAATAAAAATCTCAGACTCCCAAACTCCTTATGCCACAGGAAAAGTCAAGCATACAGGTGAAGTCATGCAACATCTTCTTCCAAATGAATAGCTGTTACTAGCATTGTGCATGAGCCAGATTCCCATGGAGGGGTATAAGACCTCAGTCATCTACAAGTGATTGCCCCCACAGATCATTCTTTGCTGGCCTCCTATAAATAAGAACACGCCACTGTAACTTTGGGTACACAATCTAAGTCCACCTCATAAAATTAAAGTCTGTTTGATTCCACATGATAGCAGATACTGTCAACTATGAGCTTATCTTCCCAAGCGCAGAACAAAGACCAGACCAGTTACTCCTCCCCTACCCAGAGATGTCTGTATAATAGATATTCCCTTTACCCCCTTGCTTTCTTCAAACATTCACTTTATCTTATGTAAAAATGTACACTCACTGGGCACTAACTAAAGTCTCAAAAGAATGTAACCATTTGCCTCACTACCTACCTGCCGCTCTTCCTACATGCCTTCCCCTCGTTTAAGGAAATGTATGAACACTCAACCTCCTGAAAATCTCTCTGGAAAAACAGCCACAGATGTGTCTATGGCTCAGGCCCAGATGTGCCCTAAATCTGGCTAAATAAACCTCAATTGCTGGAGAGCTTTGCCTCAGTTATTCATTTCCGTTATCTGGAATAACCACCAAAGCCAGAACAAACTCACCAAAGCAAGTAACACAAAAATGTGTCTTTATATTCATTAATAAAAGCTGCCTCATGACTATAATTATTCTAGCAAGGTTGAGTTAAAACTGTGCTCAAAACAAGGAATTCAGTGACATACTTCAAGTGATTTTAGATTAGTTAGTCCTAAAGGCATACTGTTTTAAATAAATGGCTTCTTCCATAATATAGTAAAAATGCCATAATCAGATGAGATTGGGTGCATTCAGGGTAAAAATGCCATAACCAATTTTGTTAAATGCCAATTAGAAATTATGGGCACAATGCTTAATTATTCTACATTTACAGGTAAAAGAGTATTTAACAGAGTATTTGGGAATGGATATTTAAAAAGTCAGTGTATAATAGAAGTCTCTTTTATATCCATTATAAATTAACAGAATTAGTGAAAAACTCAAGATATCATTTGACTTAGGACTTAATTTAAGGTCACGAATGTGTGATTATGAGGTGTCTGTAGTACATCTAAAGGATAAGTTAATTTTAATTTTAATTTTTTTGAGCCAGTGTCTCACTCTGTCTGCCAGGCTGGACTGCAGTGGCACGATTCATGGCAACCATAGCCTTGACCTCCTGGACTCAAGCCATCCTGCCTCAGCCTCTCAAGTAGATGGGACTACAGGCATGTGCCACTACATCTGGCTAATTTTTTTGATTTTTTTGTAGAGGCAAGGTCTTGTCATGTTGCCCAGCCTGGTCTCAAACTTCTGGGCTCAAGCCATCCTCCTGCCTTGGCCTTCTAAAAGTGTTGGGATTACAGGTATGAGCCACAGTGCCTAGCCAGGATAAATTTACATTTCAGCAAAACATTTAAGAACTGGGCCTCTGGCCTTTTGCTTAACTGAATGCTAGTAGAGAAAGAATCATATATTTCTTTTTTTTCCCCTGAGTCAGAGTCTCACTCTGTTGCCCAGGTTGGAGTGCAGTGGCACGCTCCTAGCCACTGCAGCCTCGACCTGCTGGGCTCAGATGATCCTTCCACCTCAGCCTTCCAAGTAGCCAGACTATAGGCATGTGCTACTATTCCAAGCTAATTTTTTTATATATTGTACAGACGAGGTCTCACTAAGTTGCCCAGGCTGGTCTCGAATTCCTGGGCACAGGCAATCCTCTCGCCTTGGTCTCCCAAATTGCTGGGATTACAGGCTTGAGCCAGCACACCTGGCAGAACTGTACATCTTTTACCAGCACCTTAGTGCTTTACTACTATTTTTATGGGAGTGTTCTTCAAAGGGAAGGGATTGAGAAGTAACAATGCTTATTCCTTGTACCTCCGCCAGGACTCAGGTGCCCAAGTACTGCCAGTCCTTTAGGATTTCTCAGTGAGGTGAGAGTTTGAGTGCCCTGACAGGATAAACTCAGTCATTGATTAAAATGGGCAAAAGTGGGCTGGGTGCAGTAGCTCATGCCTATAATCCCAGCACTTTTTATTATTGCCTGAGTCCAGGAGTTTGCGATCAGCCTGGGCAACTTGACAAGACCTACAATAAACCAAAAAAATAACAACAGAAAATTAGCCAGGTGTGGTGGCACATGCCTGTGGTTCCAGGTACTTGGAAGGCTGAGGTGGAAGGATCACCTGAGCCTAGCAGGTCAAGGCTGTGGTGGCCACGAGCATGCCACTGTACTCCAGGCTGGGAGACAGAGTAAATCTCTGACTCAAAAAAAGGGAAAAAGTAAATGATCTCTGTATAAACTTTTATCAATAATTATCGATAGAACAAAATTTAACTGTGGTTAAAATATTTCTCTACACATGATTTCGGGAAGCGTTGCCTTTTTGGTCTTATTACTCTCAGGTTAACTCCCTCATACCTGGTTTAGTACAAAAAATGTTTTCCCATAATCCTCTTGATTTGCATTATGCAGCAACAAAGAATAGTGAGACTATGGTGGGAAGGAGAGACATGAACTTCATTTGTTTTTGAGAAACTGACTAGGATGTATACACCCAGCTTTAGGAATATTATTAATGGAACTGAATGGCTTTTTTCCATTCCAAGATGCCATTGTTATAAAAATCTTCTGGAGTACTTTAACTTCCTACAAAGACATATCCTGATAGAGGCTATTTCCTGAAAACATGGTAGAACCTGCTTGCCCAGAGAAAAGAAAGGTCACTGGCAAGAGGAACTCTGACCCAAATGTGTGTGTAACAAAGATACTGTCCAATCCATCATCAGTTTTAAAAAGCATAGCCCTTCTTTGGCTCTTTCAGGAAAGTGCACGCTTTGCCGGGATGACATTTTAACTTTAAATCTGTCAATCTCTATGGCAAAAGGAACCAAAGACAGGTTGGTTTTTGCCTCTGGGTGGTTTTGGCACAGAGGCTGCTCGTTATGAGGAAACCAAGTATCTTGTTCAGTCACTGACCCTGGCCATGATGGAAATTTTTAGTAACATTCATTCTGATGAAATTCTTCACAAAATTAACTTTATATCCCTTACACGTTTCTGTAACAGCCTTTAGCTTGTTCTATTTCTCTATGGAAGAGTTGCTTTTACAACAAAACAAAAACCCACCTTGAGACAACCATAACCAAGTTCCTGGGATGCGGTTGCATTTCCAACATGATCCACTGGGTCTTCACAGTCTATAAATTCATCGGGTCTGTAATTCAACAGTAAGAGCATGATTATCATATAGTCTTTGCAAATCACTATTTACATACACATAATCAAAGCAGGCAAGAGTCATTTCTTAGCCAAGTTTTCTGGGGTTCAGTTTCCCTCTGCAGACCCTTTTCCAAGTCAAGATGCTGTGACAATTAGACTGAAGCACAACAGGTCAAACTGACAGCCAACCAAATGAACCTTTTATTGGAGAAGGAAGGCATTCCTGGTCCTGTTTCTACATAGACTCTACTCCTGCCATGGATTCATCTCTTCAGTAGACAACCACAAGGATATAGAAGCAAAACCTAAGGGTTCTCAGTTTTCTTTGCATTTCCCAAATGCCTTTTCTTATTTGATCAAAAAGAAATGTTAAAAAATGACTTGGCATTTGATGAAATCCAGCATCCCTTCATGATAAAAGTCCTCAGCAAAATAGGCACAGAAGGAACACACCTAAAAACAATAAAAGTCACATCTGATAAACCCACAGTCAACATCATACTGAATGGGGAGATGTTGAAAGCACTCCTCCTTAGAACTGGTACAAGGTAATGATGCCCACTTTCACTTCTATTCAACATAGTACTTGGAAGTCCTAGCCCGAGTAATCAGGCAAGAGAAAGAAATAAAGGGCATCCAAATTGGAAAAGAAGAAATCAAACTATTTCTGTATGTTGATGATATGATTTTATATCTAGAGAATCCTAAAGACTCCTCCAAAAGACTCCTAGACTTGATAAATAAATTCAGTGAAGTTTCAGGATACAAAATTAACACACGCAAATCAGTAGCACTGCTATATCCCTATAATGATCACACTGAGAACCAAATCAAGAACTCAGTCTTATTTGCAATAGCTACTTGAAAAAATAAAATACTTAGAAATATATTTTACGAAGGAGGTAAAATATCTCTACAAGGAAAGATATAAAACACTGATGAAAGAAATTGTAGATGACACAAACAAATGAAAACCATACCATGCTCATGAATTGGAGGAATCAACTATGTTAAAATGACCATACTACCCAAAGTAATCTACAGATTCAATGCAATCTCTATTAAACTACAAATGTCATTTTTCAGAATCAGAAAAAACAATTCTAAAATTCAAAGGGAACCAAAAAAGAGGCCAAATAGCCAAGACCATCCTAAGCTAAAAGAAAAAAGCTGGAAGCATCATGTTACCTGACTTCAAATTATATGACAAGGCTATAGTAACCAAAACAGCATGGTACTGGCACAAAGGCAGACATGTGAACCAATGGAACAGAACAGAAAATCCAGAAATAAACCCAAATACCTACAACCAACTAATCTTTGACAAAGCAGACAAAAACATACACTGGGGAAAGGACATCCTGTTCAACAAATGGTGCTGGGAAAACTGGATGGCTACAGGCAGAAAAATGAAACTTGTTCCTTATCCTTCTCCATATAAAAAATTAACTCAAGATGGATTAAAGACTTAAATGTCAGACTTGAAACCATAAAAATTCTAGAAGAAAAACCTAGGTAAAGCTCTTCTGGACATTGGCCTAGGCAAAGAATTTATGGCTAAGATCCCAGCAACAAAAACAAAAATAAGTAAGTAAACCTAAAAGCTTCAGCATAGCTAAAGAAACATCAACAGAGTAAAAAGGCAACCTACATAGAGTGGGGAAAACATTTTCAAACAATACATCAGACAGAGGACTAATATGTAGAATCCACAAAGAAATCAAACAAATCAGCAAGAAAAGAACAGATAACTCCATTAAAAAGTGGGCAAATAACACAAACAGACTTCTCTCAAAAGAAGATATACAAATGGCCAACAAATATATGAAAAAATTCTCAACGTCACTAATCATTAGGGAAGTACAAATTAAAGCCACAATGCGATACCACCTTATACCAGTTAGAATGGTCATTATTAAAAAAAATCATAAAACAATAGGTGCTAATGTAGTGAAAAGGGAATGCTTATACACTGTTGGTGGGAGTAAATTAGTACAATCTCTATGGAAACCAGCATGGAGAGTTCTCAAAGAACTAAAAGTAGATCTACCATGCAATCCAGCAATTCCACTACTTGGTATCTACCCTGAGGAAGAGAGGTTGTTATACAAAAAAAAAGACACTTGCACTCACATGTTTATAGCAGTACAAGTCACGATAGCAAAGATGGGAATCAATCTAAATGCCCATAAACTGATTAGTAGGTAATGAAAATGTGATATATATCACATTTTGGAGATACACACACACATACACACACACAGAAGGAATACTATTCAGCCACAAAAAGAACAAATAATGTCTTTTGCAGCAACTTGGATGGAAATGGAGACCATCAACCTAAGTGAAGGAATGCAGAAATGGAAAACCAAATACTGCATGTTCTCACTTATAAGTGGGAACTAAGATAAGGGTCTGCAAAGGCATATAGAATAGTATGGAGACTCAGAAGGGGGAGGATGGGAAGGGAGGGATGAAAAATCACCTATTGGGTACAATGTGCACTAATGGGGGTGATGGGTACACTTAAAGTCCAGACTTCTTCACCACTAAACAAAGCAATTATGTAACCAGAAACCATTTGTCCCCCTAAAGTTGTTAAAATAAAAGAAAACATTATTTTAAATAAAATAACAGCCACAAAACCACAACAACACGGCTTGGTTCTGCAACGACAAGCGTACTGCTTTAAAAAAAAAGAAGTGACTCGTAGACAGAACAAGTCATTTACTCCGTTTATGCCTCACTTTCTCTTTTGGCTAACGAGCGCAGGGCAGAGAAGGCACAACCTCGTATCATTCCTCTAGAGGCTACATAATGTCACGCCTCTCTAGTTCTCTTCGGGATCCCAAAGGATCGGCCACCGACACAAAAGGTTTTCCCCAGCTTGGGTGAGCCAGGTGAGACACCTGTCTTTTTATTTACCTCCGGTGTGTTGATTATCGGCTCCTCAGGTGGAGAGGGTCTGAAAAAAAGACAGCCTCCCTTCCCCCTCGCCTTCCCACAGAACCCCGGCCAAGCGCCACCTCCACCCTCCTCGACGACCCAGCAGCTTACAAGTAGGAGCACAGGATGACTGGAGAGTGGGGGTCGCCATATTCCCAGCTCGGAGCCCCAGCGGGGCCCTCCAGGTGGGCAGCGCCGGCGGAAGTGAGCTCGGGCTCGGCAGTAGCATTTTGCGAGTGGCTCCGAGAGACACAATGCAGCAGCAGTAGATTCCCCAGCAGCAAAGCTGCCTGGCCGCACAGAAGTAAGTAACTCACCGGGCATCCACCCAGTACCATCTTCCGGGCCCAGCGCTTGAGTCCCGGCCTCAGCTACAAACCCAGGCCGGCAACGCCGACCCAAGCCCCGCCCGGACGGGCCTCTGCGCAAAGCGCCGCTCCTCGCCACAGAACAGCCAATGGGCGTGCCGCTCGACCACCTAACCAACCAGAAGAGGGAGCGGAGGGGCGGGACCGCGCTTCGCTCAGCTTCTGCTCAGTTTCTCTTCTGGGTGTCATGCTCCTCCTCCTTTTGCTTGGAGTGCTTCCTCCAATCAGATCCTTCGACCCCAAAAGTAGGCGGGTCTGGGAGCAGAGGGGGGCGGGGATAATAGTGACTGGGCGGAGCTTACTCGTGCGGGTTTCCGCGGTCGGTTTAGAAATGCCGGTCTCCCGCCGGGGACAGGATTTTCCCTACGTCAGCGCAGCGCGCGCGCGGTCGGGAGCGAGCTCGGGCCGGGGGCTGAGTTGCGTCAGGGCCGCGCGCGTGCTCGTGCCCGGGCGCGCACATCCCGGCTAGCCTGGGGCCACGGCAGGGTTGGAAAATGATGGAAGAGGCGGAGGCAGAGGCGACCTGGTGCTGAGTGGAACCTGCGGGATCCGCCGAGATGGGGCCGTGCGCGGGCTCGTCCTTGGGGACCGTCCGTTTCCAGTGGTTGCTGTTGTGTGGCCTGGTGGGCCCAGTCCTTGGTGGGGCGCGGCCAGGTGGGTGTCCGTCCCAGGGTTCTTTGGGATGACCGTTTCCCAGGGATGGGGCGCTCGGAGCAAACCTGCTGTGCTGGGGGCGCGGGGGCCCAGCCTGGGGACCCGACCCGGAGCCGCTCCAGAGGCGTGTGGACCGGGCTCAGACCCCAGGCGCGGGGTCTGGCGCCCCGGACCTTTCTCAGCGCGGGTCTCCCGTCGGCTTCCACTTCCCGTCTCCTGCTCGGCGGGGCCTTTGCGGCGCGCCCCACCCCCACCCGGCGCTCTGCGGGTCCCAGACCCCCCGGGGACAGCGCTGGGTCAGACGCTGACCTCGGAGGCGGCCGGGCGCGCGTGGCGGCGTGATCCTGCCCCACCGGCTTTGGGAAAGGGAGCTTGCTCTCGCCTGTGGAGTTGATGCCACTTGGGAAGAGGCTGAGACCGGCAACTTTTGCTTCAGGTTGTCATGATTTGGGGTTTTGACGTTCTGTTTAGGAGTGGCGTCCACCGGTATGTCCACAGAGCTAAACTCAGTGGCATTTTTTTCTTGGGCCATTTTTTGTTGTAGTAAGGATACTTTTTGGGAAGTGCCAAATTTATATCTGTGGTTTTGCTGGCTTCATATTGTCGTCAATCCGGACAAATAATCCCTGCTCTGTTGGACTCACAGGATTATCCAAAGAATTAAATAATTTCCGTGAAATCAGTTTTGAATCGTGAAACTTCCCTTGGGTGTGTAAGATATTTATTCTGGAGACGCTCATAGTGGAAACAAATCGACAGCCCTCTAGCTTCTTTCTGAAAACACCTCCTTTATTTATTTTGGCTTTTGTATTAAATTATTGTTTGCATGGCTGTATCTATATCAGCGGAAGAGTATGAATGGGGGTTTTTATTAAATCATTGCTTTGAGAGTTATTCGAAGGTGATGATGGAAGGTTTCAGTGCAGGACTGCTGACCTTCAGGAAACTAATTACATTTTTTCTTATCTTTGGCTTCTTTTAAAATTAAGTACATTTGCCCCAGTGTGGACATTTTGAAGCTCTAAATACCAACAATTTTTGAAATGAGAGGTTGCCGAATCTTTTCTGGCTAAACTTGCTTTTCCTTTGGTGTTCTAGATGGTTAACGTATATCAGTATTCAAAGTAAAGTAGATTATCTGCAATTTTAGGAATGTGAGATTTTGTGTGTTTGTAAATATAACTAAGACTAATGTTATTTGTTGATTATAACATACCTGCAATAGATAAATGGAAGATCCTTATGGTCTTTAATTGTGACTTCAATGGGATGGTCAGCCCTTCATTTCAGCTTGTGCGTTTCGCAATTTAGCCAACCTTACTGAACTCCTATAAACACCATGCTTAATGCTTGTAGAGTGGCAAAGTGTATCTGAGAAATGTTGGGGGAGGTTTTACAGAGAAGATGATGCTTGAACTGGGCTATATCAGCAAATTTTTCATGTAAAAGGGTAGGAATATATTATTTCATTTATTTATTTAAAAATTTTTAAGGAATACATTCTAAACAAGAAAGTTTTTTAAGAGTATCAGGGGTATGAAAGATTATGCCTTGTTAGGAAATGATAAAAATGTCACTATGACTTTAGGCAAACTATATACAAGGGAGAGATGGAAGATAAAACTAAGGTAGGTTGGTACCAGTTGGGGAAAGCCTTCTATGCCAAGTTAAGGGGTTTGGACTTTACCGTGTAGGAAGTTCTTTGCTCAGTGAAGCTTCTAAATAGTGGTGTGACTTAATCAAATTTTCTGTTAAGAAAACTGACAACACAATGAAGGATAGACTCTAGAAGGGAGAAACTGGAGGCCGGGAGACCAGCTAAGAGGCTTTTGTATTAGTGTGCAGTGAGTCAACTCGTGTTTTCCTGGGAAATGTTCATCCAAAATCTGCTGACTAAATTTTTGCAATACAGGATGTTTAAAACATGCACTGAAACATATCCTGCTAATGAAAGAGGAATTTGAGGACTCAGTAAGTTCCACCCACACATTAGTTACTTTAGGAGTTAAGTAGGTTTTTGTAGGATTTTTACTATCTTTTATAACATTGTGTCAGTGAGGAAATTCAGTATAAATTCCAAACAGCTGACTTACAGTAAACTTTTTTTCTTAAATCTGGGACTGACAAAGGTAACTTTGTATCATTGTATAAAACAACAAGGGGAGTCAGGCATCAGTTATGGAAACTATTCTGACTTTCTGAGGTAGTAATTATGGTGTACAGATTTAGAACTATTTTGTCAAACAAAGACTGGCATTCTAAAGAAAACTGATTGAGCTGGGCTTGGTGGCTCAGCCTGTAATCCTGTGCTTTGGGAGGCCGAGGTGAGTGGATTGCCTGAACCCGCGGGTTCGAGACCCGCCTGGGCAACTTGGCGGGATCTCATCTCTACAATAAATCAAAAAATTAACCGGACGTGGTAGTGTGCACCTGTAGTCCCAGCTCCTTGGAAGGCTGAGGCGGAAGGATCACCGGAGCCCAGCAGGTAGAGGCTGCAGGGCCGAGAGCGGCCACTGCACTCCAGTCTGGGTGACAGAGTGAGACTCCAACTCAAAAAAAAAAAAAAAAAGAAAACGGATTGAAAGCTTACTCATGGTGAATCAACGTAAAATGAAGTATGTAGTAAGAACTTAGGTCCATACTAATCTTGTTTTTAGATGCCGGCGAATTATTTGAATTTGGTGTGTTCGTGTTTGCACTACATAGGAGATATATTCTTTTACATTTAAAGATGATTTGGTTTTCAAACTTTTAAGCAAAAAGGAAAATATTTATAATTAAAATATGTACAAAACTAGTTTCTGGGCTCCAAGACAGTTTTCAAAAAACATTTTAAACTTTACCTTGCCAAATTTGCATTTGTATTTTGTTAGAAATTCTGGTTTATAATACATGTATTAGAGAATACCCCCCAGAGATGCAAGCTCTGAGTAACTGGAAGCTTATTCTTGGAATATTCACAAGCTCAAACATGTGACAGAGATAGCCTCATGATGTTGGGACTGCCTCATTGGTGAATCTAGTCCTTTTGGTATCTCAGTAACTGATCCTTCACTACCTTTGAATGGGTCCAGTGTGAACCCAGATAAGTTGCATTGCACAATATTGTTTGTATATTGACAAATTAGATCATTTTTTCAAAGTGATCATGTATATGCAGGACACTGCTTGAATCACTTTTTTTTCCTTTTTTATTTTTTTGAGACAATGTCTCGCTCTGTTGCCCAGGGCTGAAGTGCAGTGGTGTGATCACAGGTCCTTACAACCTCAAACTCCTGGGCTCAAGTGATCCTCCTGTCTCAGCCTTCCATCTAGCTGAGACGATAGACACGCACTACCACACCTGGCTAAGTTTTAAATTTTTTCGTAGAGATGAGGTTTCACTATATTGCCTGACAGGTCTCAAACTCCTGGCCTCAAGCAATCCTCCCAAAGTGCATCGGAGTCTCACTCTGTGGCCCAGGCTGGAGTGCAGTGACACGCTCATGGCTACCGCAGCCTTGACCTCCTGGGCTTAAGGGATCATTCTGCCTCAGCCTTCCAACTAGCAGGAACTACAGGTGCGTGCCACGATGCCCAGCTAATTTTTTGATGTATTGTAGAGATGAGGTCTTGCCAAATTGCCTAGGCTAGTCTCGAACCCTGGGCTCAGGCAATCCTCTGGCCTCTGCCTCCCAAAGTTCTGGGATTGCAGGTGTGAGCCATTGCACCCGACTGAATTACATTTTTTAAGAGGATGTTAGGGAACCTGAGAAATTAACTTAATTTTGTTAGTTTTTAAATATGCAATTATTTTTGTATTTATTTATGTTTTTGCTGACGTTACAAGTAGGGTAATAAAGCTTAGTATAAGTAAAGAAAATGCTATCACCATGATTTAACTCATGTTAGGATTATTCTCCTCCTTTTCCTTTAGTAGGTTAGGACCCTCATGCCAGTAGACCCCTGGAAAGCCTGTTTCCGAAAGGTTTAGAATCCCATTGTAAATGTTCCCTGAGCCTAAGTTACCACCCCAGCTGCTTGGGAGAAGTGGTTAAGCAGTCTGTGGCATAGCAACACTGAAGTGTGGTTCTACTGTTAGAGTGACAAATATGTGGGCCTTGTGAATTTGTGGAAGAGTTGATATAAAAGATGTTAGTCATAAAAAGTAAGGCTCACTTTAGGTTGTAGTTGATAATTACAACTGTGAGAGCTGTGTATGTGTAGCTGTCAAGATCGGAAGAAATAGTTTACTCAATACATATTTTGTTGAATACCTATTATATCAGCGCAGTGAATAAGATATCCTTGGTCTCAAGAAACTTAAATTCCTTGCTGGAGAAACTTACATTCTTTAGAGCCTTAAATATTATAAGTGGTTGGTGTGTTTCCCAAAGGGGCATTTCAAAACACACAACAAATTCCTGTTTTTGAAAAT